AGGGAAAGAAAATTATGTTTATTCTATCTGGTGAGCAAATTAAGAAATGGCTATTGGGGTACCCTGGGATATAGGCTACATTATAGTCAGAAATATTTTTATAAAAGCTCTTAGTATCAAATTATTTGCACCCCTCTTTTGAAGTTATTGCAAGCTGTGCAGAATAAGGACTGGCTTATTTAATATCCTGTAGGAGAATGGAATGCTTCTTTATTACCTTTATTACCATGCTTATTTATACCACACAAGTGTGAAGTTTAGAAATAAATTTTAAAGGGAATTACAGGTAAGAATTTCATACCTTTGCAAGCACTAGGGGTCTAGATACAAGCTGTAATTAACTGTGATCTGTTAGTATTTGTTTTCCAAACAAAAAATCAGTAAAAGAAATTCATTAGGTAATATGTGAAGTTTTACTTCTGAAGAAATTTATTCACTACAATGTCTGTAGTAAGTGGTGCAATTCCTATGAAATCCATAAATGCCTGTTTAAGGTCTGGAGAAAAATCTGATTTTAAGTGAAAGAAAGCTCTTACTCTTTATCCTAAAAGGAAGTTTTTCCATTGTATTTATGCATATTTGATCTGAATCTTATACAAGAAAACACTGAGGCTTTAATTTATCAAATATAATCTGAGGTCTAAAGTAAAGGGACTGCAGTGATAACGTTGAATCAAAACTGTGTTCATTACTTGGTATTTCAGAGACCAAGGCTCTACAGCTGTTCCCAGGCTGGTTTCGTAGTAAGGATATGTCTGCTGCTGTCCCTTTAAGAAAGAAAAAAAGAAAGCTTCCTGTCCTTTTTTGCACTCTGTAGGAGTAAAATGCTACCCTTACATGAAATCCCTAAAAATATGTGAAATGAAGGCCAAAAGAAATGTTTTTAATCCTGTACACTGTGCAGAAATATGCTCAACCAATAGCGTGAGAATTAACAAAAGAATTCAACTTCTCTTGCATAAGTGCTTTCAAGTAATGTCATATTCTAAGGAAATTTAGTAAACAATCTGACAGAAGAATATTTAGTAACCTGTGTTACTTTGCAACAATATCAACATTTAAAATACTTCTGCTACTTTTTACACAAGAGATGCGTGCACACAGGTGCTTAACTTTCCTGCTTTAGCTGCAGAGAAGTCTTGCGGCAACTGTGAAATGTTAGGCACCTGACTAAAATTCAAGTCAGTTGATTCACTGAGTGTTCGTTGTTTCTCTGCAAGTGACTTGCTATAGAAATAGCAACATACTTGTTTTTTACATGGTTTTGTAAAAGCTTCTGTGAAAAGCCCTAATATTTGCTGCTACCCCTGTCTAGAGGACCCTATGTAAAATGCCTAGTCTGCTTGGTTTGAGTGTGCAAGTGCTGCATGCCAAGAGGCAGGCATTCAGCCACAAGTGTGGTGCTTCTGGAAAACAACAAAGCTGAGCAGGTTTGGTACATGGGGAGAGGAAGTTGAAATAAGCCTGTCCTGGGTTCAGCTACAGCAGT